GTGGGCCTTAGAAAGCATCACTACGAACAAAGCTAGCGGAGGTGATGGAATTCCAGTTGAGCTATTTCAAAACCTAAAAGATGATGTTGTGAAAGTGCTGCACTCAATATGCCAGCAAATTTGGAAAACTCAGCAGTGGCCTCAGGACTGGGAAAGGTCAGTTTTCATTCCAATCCCAAAGAAAGGCAATGCCAAAGAATGCTCAAACTACTACACAAATGCACACATCTCACACGCTAGCAAAGTAATGCTCAAAATTTTCCAAGCCAGACTTCAACAGGATGTGAACAGTGAACTTCCAGATGTTCAACTGGATTTAGAAAAGGCAAAGGAATCAGAGATCAAATTGCAAACATCAATTGGATCATCGAAAAAGCAAGAGTTCCAGAAAAACATCTACTTCTGTTTTATTGACTACACCAAAGCCTTTGTAGAAATCACAATAAACATGGAAAATCCTTCAAGAGATGGGGATACCAGACCACCTGACCTGCCTCTTGAGAAACCTGCATGCAGGTCAGGAAGCAACAGTTAGAACTGGACATGGAACAACAGACTGGTTCCAAATTGGGAAAGGAGTATGTCAAGGCTGTATATTGTCACCCTGCTTATTTAACTTGTGTGCAGAGTACATCATGCAAAATGCCAGGCTGGAGGGAGCACAAGCTGGAATCAATATTTCTGGGCAAAATATCAATAACCTGAGATATGCAGATGGCACCACCCTTGTGGCAGAAAGTGAAGAAGTATTACAGAGTCTTTTGATTAAAGTGAAAGAGGAGAGTGAAAAAGTTGGCTTAAAACTCAAAGTTCAAAAAACGAAGATCATGGCAACCAGTCCCATCACTTAATGACATAGATGGGGAAACAATGGAAACAGGGAGAGACTTTATTTTGGGGGGCTCCAAAATCACTGCAGATGGTGACTGCAGCCATGAAATTAAAAGACGCTTGCTCCTTGGAAGAAAATCTATGACCTACCTAGAGACCATATTAAAAAGCAGAGACATTACTTAGCTGACAAAGGTCCATCTAGTCAAAGCTATGGGTTTTCCAGTAGTCATGTATGGATGTGAGAGTTGGACTCTCACATTGACTGCCAAAGAATTGCTGCTTCTGAACTGTGGTGTTGAAGAAGACTCTTGAGAGTCCCTTGGACTGCAAGGAGATCAAACGGGTCAATCTTAAAGGAAATCAGTCCTGAATATTCATTGGAAGAACTGATGCTGAAGCTGAAACTCCAATACTTTGGCCACCTGATGCAAAGAACTGACTCATCTGAGAAGACCCTGATGCTGGGAAACATTGAAGGGAGGAAGAGAAGGGGATGACAGAGAATGAGATGGTTGGATGGCATCACTGACTCAATGGATATGAGTCTGAGCAAGGTTTGGGAGTTAGGGATGGACAGGGAAGCCTGGCTTGCTGCAGTCTGTGGGGTTGCAAAGAGTCGGACATGACTGAGTGACTGCACTGACTGACGCTAACAGTGACATTAAGTGCAAATAGGGATATATGCACAGAAAACAGCATTTTGAAAAGCATCCTTTATAAACAAAGGCACAAGGATCAGGTGGTATAACAGATTGTTTTTACAATTCTTTTAAGCATCAGACAAGCCAGTGCTGCTTTCTCAAATCAACAGCATTGGATTGTTACCAGAGGTCTTTACACTTGTGCTGAAATTTCATTAAGGAGCACTCATTGGTTATGGGATTGATGAAGACAAACAAAATAAGAGCCTCTATCACTGCTTTGGATTTTACAACAGACACACTCACAGTCTGAACAAGGTCCACTCTCTAGTCCCCATGGGTGGTTTTGGTCCCGATGGGAAGTTAAAGGAAATACAGTTCACACAAAAGCACATCCACTTCTGATTCCAACTACAAGTGTGGGCTTTCCCAAATCCATGCCCATTTCAGTAATTCTCTTGAAGGACTCAGAACTAACTGGTGCTGTTCTCCTCACAGTTATGGTTTATTATATGGAAAGATAGAGATTAGCACCAGACAAGGAAGAGATACAAGGGGTACAGCAGCCTAGGACGCCACACCGCTCACTGTTCTCTGCACAGGGCATCTCCTGGTCTCTGGCTGCAGCTCTTAGCAAAATGCACATATTTGTCTGAGCATCTGTATTTAGTACATTTCCTATAGGCTTCACAAGACAGATGGCAATAGTATCTCTGAATTCAGTATCTCTGAATTCAAATCTCTAACATTTGAAGAGCCAGTATGAGGTAAATAGAGATTTAATGATACAGTCACTCCATCCTACAAAGCTATTACATGCATTTTCACAGATTTCTACTAATTCAAGTTTTTTTTTCCCCTTTGCTCTACTGACCTCACTTTGGGTAAGGCTTATTCTTCACCACACGACCCTCTGTTTCCAAGTCAGTGAATGCAATCATATCTGGACAGCACATACTCCAAACACACAGATACATATACATAGACAGTCTGACACACATGTGTTTTCACACTCAAATATATACTTAGTCACCCCATACTCCACACTCACCCTGCACTCACAAACACTCATGACACATGGAACCACACTCACATTATTGTACACCCTTCACTCACATATCAACATAAATGACACAATCCCACTTTCACAGAATCATTTACTTGGTCATCAAGAGGGTTATTATATCCATCATATGTTTGTATTAGGAAAGTCTGCATCTTTTCTGGGGAGTGAAGGCCAGAAAAAGGGCAGAAATGTATGCACCTTACCCTCTATCTATCCTGTCAAACCCTCAAGGATAATATATTAGACATGCATCTTTTAAAAATTTCTGAGAGTTTTGCCACTTGAGGTGGGGAGTATGGTATAAATGCTGGAATGCCTGTGGGTATGACTGGGAGTGGGTGTGATGGAGAGAGATAAGCAAGAGGACATGGGGGCAGGTCAGAGGGTAAGGTGAGTGAAAGGGGTTCTGGGGTGCAGAGTAGGAGGAAAGAGGGTGCAGGAGTAAACAGCACATGGATTTGAAGTCTGCAGTGGGTTTCAAGTCCACCGCGGGATTTAAGGGAACTCAGAGGTTAAGCAAAAATGTTAAGGGCACCTCACATATTTGCATTGTGGGGAATAAGGGTTGTTACAGGAGGCATGGGAACATAAAAGAGATTCCACTGAATATGTAGGTTTTATCGGTGGTGTGTTCATTTTTACATTTCTAGTTCCTCCAAACCATGAATCGGGTATATCTTTCCACCTGTTTGTGTTGTAATTTCTTTCCTCGGTGTTTTACAGGTTTCCAAGCACATGTCTTTTACTTCCTTTTTTACTTTCTGAGGAAGTGGATGCTTTTACTATGTTTTTAAAGCATTTTACTAGCTTTGAACATGGTTGATTTACTACCTTTACCAATGAGATTTTTCCCTTTGTAATGTTCATGCTTCTAGTGTGGCCTTTTTTCTGCTTAGAGAGGTCCCTCTAACATTTCTTTTACAGCTGGTTTCACAGTGCTGAATTCTTATCTTTTGCTTGCCTGTAAAACTTTTAACCTCCCCATCAAATCTAAATGAAAGCCTTGCCGAGTAATCTTGGTTACAGATATTGGTTGGGTCGAAAAGTTCATTTGGCTTTTTCCATAAGATCTTACAGAAAAACTCAAATGAACTTTTTGGCCAATCCAGTATTTTCCTTTCATCTTTTAAGTAATACTGTTCCACACCCCTCGACCTGCAGAGTTTCTGCTGAAAAGTCCGTTGATAGCCTTATGGGTGTGCCCTTGTAGGTAACTTGTTCCTTTTCTCTTGCTGCTTTTGATATTCTTTATTTTTAAAGAGTTACTTTGTAGCATAGGGAATATATTCAGTATCTTGTAATAACCCAAAGTGGCATATAATCTGAAGAAAAAACCCAAGTCACTTTTCTGTACACTGAGGCTAACACACTATTGTAAATCAACTATAACTCTAATAAAAAAAAAAAAAAAGAGAGAGAGCGCAGAGTCTCTATTTCCCACAGCCTTCCGGCTCTTCTGAAAGAAAGCCCTGCTGGCTTTTAAAGCTAAATGTTATGGGTGCTCATCTTCTCCGTGTTGGAGCCCCATGTGGGGCTCGGAACCCTCACCCCTTGAGGAGAATCTCTGTAGTTGTATTATTATTGTCCTGTATGTAGGTCATGCATCCAGCGCTATGGTTCTTGACTCTACAGAGATCCCAACCCTTCTACCTGCCTCATTGTGGATCCTTGTGCATTTCTTGAGTTGTAGCAGACCTTTTCTGGTAGCTTCCAGTCTTCCTCATCAATATTTGCTCTGTATACAGTTGCAATTTTGGTGTGTCAGTGAGAAGTGAAGAGCTCACAGTTTTCCTGCTCCACCATTTTGGAGCAGTCGCCTGGGGTATTCTTGGTATAGCAGCCTCCAGCTGACTAAAACAGATTTTTCTGGTTAAGGAAGGTGGGTTGATAATACTCACCTGAACTTTAGAAGTCAAATAGAGATAATTGAAAGACAGATTGAAAACAGGAAGGGGGGGGGCTCAATTTGCCAATACAGGCATGGTAGATGGAGAGAATTCAAATATAAGTCTATGAAGGGAAACAAATTCTACCAACAACATAAATCAGACTGGAAGCAATTCTTATCTAGGTTCCACTTCAAAAATTCTCTTTGGACACTGAAAGTGAAGGAATGAGTGAATTGGCAACTGTGCACTGTGGAAATACATACAATTCACATATATCAGATAATTGTAGGGGATTTTCTTATTTCTTATCCAGGCAAAGTAGAGCCTGTGTACACTGGAGTCACAGCTCATGAGCAGAAAGGGACTGACAGTAGGGAAGCATGCTGCTACGATTACAGTCTTGTTCACAAGGAAACAGCTCGGATAATCAAAAAGAGCCACAACAAGTTGAAAGATGGAGGAAAGAATATAAAAATAGACAAAAGTGCTCACCAGGAGAAGGATGGTTTTGGTATCTCTGGACTCAGGGAAGGACCTGGGGGAGGGGTTGTTCCCCCGAATGTGCTGGACCTGCTGTTTATGTCTGTACAAGATGAGAACCATGGAGCTGCCGGCCCAGAGCGTGAGCCCCAAACGTAAAACATCAGGGAGCAACAGCAATGCTGCAGACAATGCCTCTCTGGTTTTGTCAGTAAGAAGAACAGTATCTAAAATCTATTTTCTTTGTGATGTTTTTGTCACTCCATTTTCCAGTTATATATATATAGGAAAAATGACATTTACCAGTATTTGCAGGATCCCACCGGAGAAGGCAATGGCAACTCCAGTGTTCTTGCCTGGAGAATCTCAGGGACAGGGGAGCCTGGTGGGCTGCCATCTATGGGGTCGCTCAGAGTCAGACATGACTGAAGCGAGTTAGCAGCAGCAGGATCCAACACAGGAAAATAGAACCACATACTTGGGAGCTGTTACTTTCAGTGCTGCCCACCTGGAGTTCCAGGGAATGATCGTGATCACCTGAAAGACATTCAAGAGGCAGATGCTACTGATGGACACTCCCCTCCCCACTCTGTGCAGAAAGAAGAGAAGTTTGCAGCCAAAATCACTGTGGATATGCTTCCACCCAAAGACTGCCATTGTCTGGGGGACCCCTTTACAGAGAACCAAGGAGTTGGCCACAATCAGGTGCTTAAAGATCAAATCTGTGGACTGTAACCTGTAACCCATGAAGTGAAGGATGATATAACTGCAAAGGAGTGAGAAATTCCCCAGGAGTCCAATCACAATCTGTGTTGAGATGATTATGTCCATTGTCAAATCACTGCTGGCTGTCCTCTCAGTTCACAGTCCCTGATGCTTGTCTTGTGAGTTAGAATATCCTGCCTGGGAATGTGAGGTGTGGGTTACATACATGGTGTCAGCTGGTATCTCATATTCTCCACTTAACATTAGTCCCACTTGGAAAATAGCAGTTTATAAACAGTTGCATGTATGATATTTAAAGAGCACTAATACATAAAAGTGCCCACTCCAGTGTTCTTGCCTGGAGAATCCCAGGGATGGCGGAGCCTGGTGGGCTGCCATCTGTGGGGTCGCACAGAGTTGGACACGACTGAAGTGACTTAGCAGTAGCAGCAGCCACAGCAGCAATAAGTAAAAGTGATCACTGCAGGCTGTACACATGATCACTTCTTCATTCTTCAAAATCTATGAGCCAGACACTAATTTGACCTTAATGATACAGAAGAGGGTAAGATAACCACAGAGCAGTTGAGTGTTTGTCAAAATCTGCTTTTAGGACAGAGTGAGGACTTGAAACTCACTGGATTGGTAAATAAATTACATTGATCCCCTATTTCTGCCAAAAAGTTAACCACCTGTGTTCATATAATAATGCAGATTTATATTTAGCTTTTTTCCCTCACAACTTGTTCTTTGATTTTAGAATGGTACTATTTTATAATTTCCATTATAAGAAGATTCCAGTTTTGTAAAATTTTATTATGGAGGGCACTATGTAGTAAGACTGAGGCTTTAGCTGTCTTAGTATATGTACACGCACTGTTGCCAGGAGAATCTGGCAGGAACCTGCCCAAGCCAAGGTAATGTCATGAAGATGAGGATGGCTCGGAATTAGAGTGCAAACAGGAAAATCCTTTGCTTTTATTTCAGAAAAGCAGTGATAATAGCATGTATCCCAAAAATTGTTAGTCACATGTACCATAAACTTTGCGACATAAAATACTTATGCATGATTAATTAGTGTAAGGAGTTACTAAATTATTATTTTCAGGTGCTATGATTATCTATTTGTAATAGAAAATATGACAATGAATTAGGATTTGCAAGTGATGTTAACATACAAGAGATATATACAAATCAAAACCTGCAAGGCATGTATTCTTATGCATTTTACAAATGAAAATACCACATATTTAGATTGATATTAAGATACTTTTTAAATGGGCAGAAACGATATGATATATGACTGAGAGTTGCTCCCTGAAACTCAGCATTATGTGACTTTCCTTAACATTTCATAACATTAAGAGTGAAGACAGCCTCACCATAATCAGTGGACTCAGGATGTTATCAGTGAGGATACAATTACTGTCTCCATTAACATCCAGAGTCAGAGAAAACATTTTCCTTCAAGCTGTTTCCATTTGGGTACACTTTCTGTGCAGAATGACATTTTTTGCAGATTCGTCATACTCTTTATGGAGAAGGCAATGGCAACCCACTCCAGTACTCTTGCCTGGGAAATCCCATGGACGGAGGAGCCTGTTGGGCTACAGTCCGTGGGGTCTCAAGGAGTCAGACATGACTGAGCAACTTCACTTTCACTTTTCACTTTCATACACTGGAGAAGGAAATGGCAACCCACTCCAGTATTCTTGCCTGGAGAATCCCATGGACGGAGGAGCCTGGTGGGCTACAGTCCACCGGATCGCAAAGAGTCAGACACAACTGAGCGACTTCAATTTACTACTCACCCTGAACACCGAGTCTATGTTTACCCTAGGTAGATTCCAGAATAAACTGATTATACATCTGCAGTTTTAAGCACCTTAATAGTCAGGTTTCGTTAGCACTTGAACCAAGTCACAACAGTCACTGTCAGTGAGGATTCAATTAAACTCCAGGAGGAGCCAGCAGGGATTGGTTTAGGGTTAGGACCCCATCACTCTTTTATCAGTTCAGCTCATATTTCACAATATTCCCATGTTCCCACCTACAGTTGGCACTGAATCTGGTTACTCCACAGAAGACTGCCTTTCTGATATAATTGCTTTACTCAGCATCTTGATCTGCCTTTCTTGTACAGACTCTGCCTCTCAGACTGAAATAGAACATTCTTACCTGGCACCGTCCTGCTTCTAGGAGAGTGGGCTCCCTGATAGTCATTATAACCAGTATGTGTGTAGGAGGGAGGCAGCCGGACCCTGATATATGGGTCTGAGATGCTGTGCCTTCCAAGCCCCTCCCATCAGAGCTGCAATTATCAATTCACCTGCAGCAGCAATGGGAGTGCAGGCCTGGGATCTGAGAACATTTCTGGAAAGTTTTCTCTCAATTGTTAATTACTGGAAAAAATTACAAGTCTCTGGTTAGCACCTTTAGGAGGCTAAAGGAGTGTTTCCAAGAGCCTTCTTATTTTCCGTGACCACTAATGGCAGACAGGGTCTCACATGGACGAGTATAAGAAATACTGAAATGTACATGTGACTGAGGTAACTATGTGGGTCTCTCTGGATTCTTCACTTCCATGAGATGTTTCTCTAGTACTCTCCCAATCAGCAGGCCACTAATCTGAATCATCAATTAAAGTATTGGTGGAGAAATGGAATGAATCCAAATACCTGGAAGGTATACTCAAAGAGATAAAAGGGAAAGGACGAACATGATAGGGAACTCATTATATGAACCATTAGCACACACACACAAAAAAATCAATGATTTAGATTTATTTTCATAATTCCATGACAATTAGGAAGGAAATCTTGTCAGAAAATACACTTTATTCTTATTTAATTCTGTTGGTGATAAGAATGGGATGCAGAATAAGTGTACAAAGAGAGAGTTCGAAAAGAGTATCTCTTGAATAAAATCATCTAGATCTGAAGGCTCAGTGGTCTGAGCAATTACTTAATTCAGGAAGATCAAACCTAGAGACTAAATAAAATACTACTAAAAACCAGTGGATCAACGGGAAATCAAAAGAAAATCAGAAATTACCTTGAAGCAAATAAAAATAAAACAGAAACTTTAGAAATCAAGAAATAGAAAAGGCAATTCTAAGAGAAACTGAGAAAGATAAAAGCCTACCTGACAAAAACAAGAAAAATTTCAAATAAACAACCTAACCTACCATCTAAAGAAATTATAAGAGGAATTACATAAAATTTCAAAGATAGGAGACAAAGGAAATGATATAAATCAAAAAGAGTATTTTAAAAATCAGAGATCTAAACACCAACAGAACAAGTCAATGAAACCAAGCGGTGATTTTTCAAAAAGATACACACAACTGATAAACCTTTAGCTGGGGTTCATTAAAAAAAAACAAACAAAAAAAAAGAGGACCTGGGACTTCGCTGGTGGTGCTGTGGTTAAGACTTCACCTCCTAGTGCAAGGGGTGCAGGTTTGATCCCTGGAAAGGGAGCCAAGATCCCACATCCCTTGTGGATGAAAAGCAAAATGTAAAACAGAAGCAATATTGTAACAAAATCAACAAATACATTAAAAATGGTCCACATAAAAAATCT